TACTTTATGAACATCATGATTTCCCAACACAAAATTAACTCTTTCCAGACGTATCGCCGATATCGCACCCCTTGCGGACGTATCACCGATATATCGGCTGCGATAGGGTGTCTCAGTATTGTTTCATTTTAACACGATCCGTCATTTAAAATTACTTTTTATTGCTATTGAAAATCTCGGAAAGGATTTAGGAAAGAAAACATCTAGTTTCACTTTGTCAAAGCGTGGGTTTGGGAAAAAAAGAGTGAATTGGTTCTTGCGGTCTTGCATCAACAAAACGATGTAACCGGACTCAGTATAAATATCATAACTCAAAAAATAATTGGAATATTGCTTTCAAATAAAAAGCTGCGAATTCAGAAATTTTTGGATTATGCTCTTGGCCTGTATATGACAAGATAGCTATGCTGATTTGCTTTCACATGTTTGGTGAATGTAATTTATTCCATCAAAATTTATTTTTAGCAAGTGGCTATTCTCCGGCTTCCCGCCGGTCAATAGATCGGAAGCTATTCTCCGGCGTCATAACTATGTCTAGTATGTCTACCTTTCATATAAATATTTTATCTATGATAATTGTCTAACATATCTTAATTCATTTATTTCCGTCGTCCATTTGTTAATTTTAAAATAATGATTCTGTTTATTTAAGCAAACAAAATTGATTTTGTGTCTAAAATCCTGTCTAGTCATAGAGTATAGCTTGCTGTTTAACTTATTTCTTGTTGTTCTAATTTTCGATAAATTTAACTGATATTTCGCAACTTCAGTGCTATCTTGTCGTATTTCCATTTTTGTAAACAGTGAAAATGTAACTTCTTCTTTTGCTCACTCTTTGTTATGAACTCACATCACTAGTGGTGAACTCGTTTCTTCTAGCACCCAACATAATTCTAAATTGCAGGAATTGAGGCAGTTTGTAACTGAAAACCTATCATCTGTATCAACGGAAGTGGCACAAAGTGGTGAGATAAACTGGAAAATTCTGCACATTTCAGTTTAAGGCCAAGGTCGGCAGATAGAATCAAATATTTCCTTTAATTTTAGGATTTTCTGTTTATGCAATATCATTATTCTATATCCACTTACTCATCTTGGGAAATACATTCCAGAGCCTAAAACTATCTATAAGTCCATGAAAAAGCAACCTACACACAGGCAGGTAATCACATAATTCACAGTTTGTGCTCAAAGTACGGCTGAAATAGTGTGAACTAGAAGGAAAAGGGAGTTGGAAGAACTTGAGGGTGGTCCAAGTTATGCTGCTGGCTCATTTTATATAGTTTTTTCAGGCTGGAAACATCATGACATTAGAAGGCAAGAGCACTTTTGCAATAAAAGCTTATTTTCTCAAAAACCAATTTTTCTGCATTTGAAGTTACAAATCTCCTATGTGGTTTGTGTGACATACTTCAAATTTATACCATGTGTTTACTACCATCAAATACAAATTTTGTCCCATCCATATGTAAATATACTGCAAAGTTTTAAAAAAATTATTTTTTAATGTCAGGGGAGGGCTTATAATTGAATAATATACATACACAAATTTCAAAAATTCGTAAAAATTACAGCTATTCATTTAATGAACTGAAAATCACACAAAATGTGCCTGATGTTGATGAAAGTATGTGTCCCAACTTTCATGACTGTTGGACGGATAACCAATGAGAAATGTTCCATGGAAATGTATGAAAAAATCCAAGACGGCGGCTGTTTTTACCCATTTCCATGGCAACCAAAGCATTGTTCGAAAAATGGAATGTATCACATGTGAAGAAAATCTCTGTGGGGTATGGTTATCACAAGTAATTAGATGGGAAGTTACACGTCTAGCTTTTAGTTTTCACTGTAGACCTTGACCATAAGTGGACTGCACTGCAATAGAATGTGCAAAGTTGAACAGACAGGTATCAGGAGATTTCTGTGTTATGCCAATTGATGCTGTAATAATAGACAAAAAATTATACCTTAACATAAGTGCAAAGTTGAAATCGAATGGACTAATCGACCATCCCAAAAACACGATTGAAACAACATTTACTCACCAAACCATTTCCTCATGTTGATAAGTCCATATTCCCGTATGAGTCTGGAAAAATAAAACATGCAAACAAGTCTTACGGACAGAAAAAAACCATTATAATATTTGCATTGCTCATTACAATTTTACAAAACTGACCAAAGATAATAAAATGAACTGCATCTGTGGTGAAGTAGCTTGGTGCTTTGTTGCGCATGCCAGAAACATAAGTTCAGTTCGCTTGTAAGGAGGTTTCTCTAAACTGAATATCTCCTTCAGTCTGTTTGAGACATTATATCCCTCTTTGCCCAAATTAGCACTGAAAGGCAGGGTCAATGCCCGCCTCTTAAAATGTCTAAATAGTGTTGATGGGCTGTAAAAACACCTACAATTACATGTTTTTATACACTAAGATTCTCATGTAATAGACATAGGAAGACAGCTAAACTTGTAGGCACACAAAGTCTTCTTGATATGGAATATGATTCTCATCAGAAACATTAAATAGTAACCAATTCTTTTAACCCTTAAAACCCTATACCACTTGTAACTGCTGATGCCGTATTTTCCTATACCGCTGGTCGACTTAATCGTTCAATTCCCAGTGCTAGAAACAGGGGATGTAACTCCAGATGACTCTGTCGCAAGCAGAAAGTACCGATAATGTCATGAGAGCAGTTCTACACCGAAAGTAAGGAAATTTTGCGAGTTTTAAAGAAAAATTAGTCATTTTTCGCTGCCAGGCCCTTCAGGCCGCAAAATTTTGGGCTTTTTGATTCTCAACCAGACCCCAATAAGGATCTCCCAGTCAGATTTATCAATAAATATGACCGTTGAATAATTATACACATGTCCATTCCTATGTTCACCACAAAAGATGACCACAGCGAGCTGAGCAAGAAGTCCCTCACCCTGTCCAGGCTTGAACAAAGCTACCCACAAGAAGCATGGGTAAGGATCTATACAGACGGATCTGCCACTGATGCTGTGAAAAGAAGAGGAGCCGGAGTGCACGTACAGTTCCCAAATGGACGACGACAAGCAGAGGCAGTCCCTACAGGGCGACATTGTACAAACTGCAGGGCACAGACGGAGGCTCTAATACATGCAGCAAACATCATTAAGAATGTGGTAGACCCCCAAACCCAAGTAGTATTCCTAACTGACTGCAGTACTGCAGGCAATCACTGCCGGCAAACTACCAAGGCTACGAAAAGTAGTTGAGGACATCCCATGTCTGAGGATCATGCAGCAGTGGATTCCATCACACTGTGGTGTCTTAGGAAATGAGCAGGCAGACAGGATGGCTAAACTAGGAGCACAGAAAGAGCAACCAGACAACAGCGTTAACTGGGTCTAATGATGCTTTGACTGAAGTGGAGTCAGGGATCACACACATGACTTAACTCATTGAGTTGGTCCTAAAAACCAGTGTTTTAACCTTTTCCCCACACTGTGCATTCATATATAAATAACATTTTCAAATTTCAGTAAAATCTAAAAAAATTAAAGACACAGTAAACAAAACAATGAAACAACCTAATTTTTTCTAATATCTCAATTTTAATTCAGGATTCTAAACAGGTATGAAAAAAACAAGAATTCAGGTTTTTCAGGGTTAAATATTAGGCTTTTCACAATTCAGTCAATTTTTTTTTCAAAACTTTATAGATTTCAAAACTTGATTAATGCCCAAAGTCAATATATTTCACTCACTTCTTCCTTCTTTGTCTCTCCAGGAGGCAGTTTCTGTACACCTCCAGCACTGTGATGGATAAATCTTGAAGGGAACAACAGGAAAAAAAAAAAAAGGAAATGATTTCAGAGAAATATAAACAAAAATGTTAAAATCACCAACAAGCATTTTGCAAACAAATAACCCCAGAAAAGTTTGTCAACAAAGATAATTGCAGAATTCATGAACAAGTGTGTTATTATGCCGACAGTCATTCTCCTTCTTTACAAATTTTGACATGCTTCTTTCTTTTTACTGAATAATGCCACTGAGCATTTTCTACAGGTTGGCGGCAGTCAGAGGATGGATTTCCCAAGCTTTGTTTCCTTTGTCCGTGTTGCATTAGTCTAAAAATATTAATCTTTATGACATACATGTAATATAAAAAAGTAGAGAAGCGTATTATTTTAAAAACAGTATTGCTTTCCTGTTCTTGACCAGGGTATACTTTGGACACCACTTAACATAGCCTGGTTATCTTTTACACCTGTGCAACTGCATTGACATATCAAAGGTTACAAAAACAAATCCTGAACTTTACTGACTCCACGGAAATATGAGTGCTGGGACTGAAAATTTACCTTTCACATTGTCTTATACATCTTTTATCACAATTGATTTTAGTTGATCAGTCTTAAGTCAGCCAAAATCCAGACAATTTCAAAGTTTTTGATTTCTAGACGGATCCGAAAAATGACTACTGCTGACATATGCCACTGACTGTACCAGATCTGAACTAACTAGAAAATTCCAAAGTCCCTCAAACCGGTAAGATTTTTTACTGCAAAAACAAAGATGTCTATTTTTTTTTTTACTGCACTTCACCTTTATACAGCCTCTGGTCCTCTTCGGTCATCTCTTCGGTACTCTCTATTCTAGGACTGTCCATGTCACTAGAAGTCAGGTGACAGATATCCAGCTCAAGAAAGTTATCGTGCTCTGTGTTAAAGTCGCAGCGAGCAGCGGAGTATCCTCCCATCTCGTTCCACAGGTTTGAACCTTCAGCAGGACGTGGCGGGTTATCTGACACTGAGGAAGAAGATATTCAGTCTTGGGCACTCTGGAGTGAAGGGCAATGAGGAGGCTGATAGGCTGGCAGGCAGTACTGTGGTTGATGGTGAAGTGAAATTTGACAAAGGAGAAGTGTTGAAGACACTGGAGGAAAAGTTGGGGGATGAGGAAGACAGGGAGACAGCTGAACACCACGCAATCATTAGGATGCGGGAAATTGGGATAGACAGGGGAGAAGGAAGAAAGGAACAAATATCTGGAAAGGAAAGATGTTGTCATAATCAGACAGCCACTGGAACAAATCAGTAGGGATACCTTGCGGGTTTTGGTGCTAGGGGGAACTAAGCACTTATGGACCTGTCCGGCGTGCAATGACATTATTGCCCAGGACAGGTAACAGGAAAGAGATTGGCCCATTATTGGGGGATAAATAATAAGCAAAAATGAGAAAAACATTTTTTAAATGTGAGACAGCGTTGTGAAATCAGGCACTTGTCAAAACAATGAAATCAAAGAAACCAACATTTTTCTAAGCGCGGGGCAATTTTTTCTTAAAATTTCTTTTTCTGGCTTAATACCTTTTCTGTTTAAAAAAAAAAACAGATTTTAGAAAGGATGTTACAGAAAAACACCTTGATCAAAGGCACGTTAAATGTAAATTTCCAGTTTCCAAGGACACTCAAGCTTGGTGAGTCACCTAACTTTGGCAGCAATTTTCTTGCTTATTTTACTCCTCAAGCTTTAAGATGGTATCATAAACTCCACAACAAGCACATAATTCCACATTGTTGTGACACAAATGATTCCTCTCATCTCATTCCACAGGTTTATACCTTCAGCAAGATGTGGTGGGTTATTTGACACTGAGGAAGAGATTAGCTCATTAAAAATTTATTTTTTTAGTAAATAAGAAATAAAAATGAGAAAGACATTTAAAAAAATGATTCCTCCTCCAAAGCAAGCTGAATTATGTTGTGTGGCATATTCTTTTCATACCCCCCCCCCCCCCCTTAAAAAACCTGTTTAGACTTACAATCAACGGTAATCTATTCAACAGAGAAGGAACTCCATCAAAAGTCAATAAAGTCCTTATGTCTTCCCTTTCTTGAATGTCTATATGCATACATTCAGATACATAAATATGGAGGCAGACATTCAGATACATAAATATGGAGAGCTTTCTTGAATGTCTATATGCATACATTCAGATACATAAATATGGAGAGGGAGAGGGAGAGGGGGAGAGGGAGAGGGAGAGAGAGAGAGAGAGAGAGAGAGAGAGAGAGAGAGAGAGAGAGAGAGAGAGAGAGAGAGAGAGAGAGAGAGAGAGAGAGAGAGAGAGAGAGAGAAGGGCCCTTTATGTTTCAACAGTTACAACTAAATACAGTCAGTGGCAGATTTTCTTTTAGTAAAGTTTGATGGGTGTGATTTTCAACAACAGTGAACAATCTGATCAAAAAAACTTACACTTGAAAATCACAGGCGCTCCCCTGTCATAATTGTGCTGGTCTGTAAACTCTGTGGAAGGGATAACATTGGCCAAGTTACTTTTCAAAAAGAGAACACTGGGACATCAACGTCAGCCAAATTGTCTAGAACAACCACCCATCGTCAAGAAGAAAAGTGATCGGCTTACACAGCTGGACGTTTTGGACATGGTCATTTAATTATATATAAAATTTTATAAAATCACAAAGGGGGGACAGGGAAGTGTCTTTTGTACAGTGACTGTCTTGGACTGGTGGTTGTTACAGCTGGTTTAATTGCAATATAATGTAAAAATTTATCGATACAGAATTAAAAGTGAATTGCTAAACAGAAAATGTTTTTTACACATGCTAGTAACTAACCACACTATGTACCATGTTGTGATGTGTGTCTGTGAGGAGGAAGGTGAGGGGAGACAGAACACTGACCTGGTAGTGGAGCTTGAGGTTTCTCAACATAGCAGCAGAGATAATGCCTTTCACACTCCGCCTCTGTTTTGGTTCGCAACTTGCCGCTGATGGCTTGCCTGGTGAGAAAAAATATTTTGAATTGGAGATGAAAAAGTAAGATTAACAGATAAAACCAACAGGGGGACTGTAAGGAAGAGGGACTACCAGTGATACACGCCAAATATCTGCTGAAAGGAAATTAGGAAACAGTATTATTACAATCATTTCAAGTTCTTGAAAATCGAACAGATGCAATCAAAGAGATGACTCACATTTTAATGGAATTTTCCCTGATTTATCCACAATCACAACATCTGAGTGCTGGGTACTTCGTTAGTAATTTAAAAAATATAAATAAAAAATAAACAAACATTTAGGAAACAAGACAACAGACAAGCTGGAAACATGTGAAGTTTGACTCCCGTATGCTAAAAATCCTGTCACATAAGTGACCTATACTTATCAAAAGTATAACTTGGTGCAGACCCCACCTTGTTTTAGCAAAAGATTGATTTGGGAGAAAATAAAACATGGGTGTTAGCATGTGAAGGTCAATTTGAAGAAGCAAGGTATCATCCCTTTGTCTTTAACTCCTGCCTCCATCTTTAAAAAAAAAAAAGAAAAAAAAAATATGCCGACCTTATTCTTGGCCTTTCTCTCTTAATTAGAAGGAACGACAAGATTTGGTGTCTGATACATCTAAAACATCCTGCATGGATTTGATTTTTTCTTGTCTCTCAGAAATTCAAAGCACACAGCTCGGGGAAAACAGTGGTAAAGAAGAGTAACAAGCTTCGCCAAAAAGTGAAAAAGTAAAAGAACAAAAACTTTCGTGGTCAACCCAAATTACTGAAATGAATACTTTGATCGAATCACAGGCAATAGGCATGCCCTCCTTTCTTCGATTTACCTTGTTCTTCCTCTCTCTTTCTTTGTCTTATATCCTTTATTGTTCACAATAAATATTAAACTGAATGAACAAAATAGGAAAAAAAGCATCACCGACTAACCAGTTTCCAATGCCACAATCCTGTATAGCATCAAGTAACTTCAGTTCTTCAGAGGCAGTCCAATGTGACTCATACAGGGGGAAATCAAGCTTCTGAAAGTCACCAAAAAAAGTTTTATTTTTTTTAAACTTAGTTTTTGTCACTTAATAAAGTTTATAGACTTTTGATCTGTAATGGTAAGGCGTATTGCCTTGCACACAAAAGATATGAGCTTGATTCACTCAGAGAGCGTTTTTTAAATCCTCAAACATTTTTTTCTTAGAATTTCTACCACAAAATCCCCAAAACACCAGGAAACGAAATTCATAGATAAGACTGAAAAGGTTGGCTCTGAAATATTTTGGGAAGAAAATGGGTGCACAGCAGGCATGAACCAGAGCATTTTTTCAGCAGCCAAACATTTTAAAGGGGGGAGGGGGGGGGGGGCTTTCCTGGAGCATTACAGAATATATGGAAGCAAAATATATTTATTGTCACTTACTACAACTGTATATGGATGATCACATTCATGCTGTCCAAACTCAGCTCCATGAGAGAAGCATCGAGAGCAGAGGTCAACTGTAGGAGTCCTGCATATGGCACAGTGTATCCAAGGCACCTCAAGAGGAGTATGGCATGAAGAGCACTCAGTGGCCAAGGGTCTCTCGGCTTGCTCAGATTCAACACTTACAGGTTCCTCCATGCTTGATTTCTTTTGTTCCACACACCAAACCTTCCTACTACACTAAAATAAAAAGAAGGAAAATTTACATTTTCAAAACTAGTGAAGTTAATTTCAGGAGGGCATTATTACGAACGAGTCCAGAAACCGACACAGGTGTTTTCAAAGTTCAGCACTCATTAGGAAATCAGATGAGGTAAATTTTTACTATCCCTCCGATACATAGATGCACTGCTTTGAGGGGCTAATCTACATTGTTTTTAGTAAAGAGTTTTACGGCACTTGCAACACAATAAGGTCATATAAGTGCCGAAGATTAGAGTGTTACAAGAGAGTAACAACAAACGTAAAAAAGAAGGAGGAGAGATAAGGATGATAGCTGTTTAGAGGAAAGAAGGAGCAAACCACATCAGAGCACCCGCCAACCACCCACTAATCTACATATTTCTGGCTGCCAAATACACACACATATGACCATTAAAGCCATCAGAAATCAACAGCTTTCAAGAAAATCTTAAACCAAATTACAAAACACCACGTAATGGGAAAATATTAGGGAGCATGTGCCCCTGTTGTAGTATTTTCAAACCCGCAGGGGATGCCCCTGTGACATCCCCCAGATCTAAAATAAAAAAAGAGGGGGGGGGGGCGGAGGGGAGTGCAAAATATTACTAAAAGTCTACGCAGTATAAGGTCTTAGAAGCTTAGGGCTTAGGCCTCCCAATGACTGGTTTGTAGTACAGGAGTTTACATCATAAACCATTAAATCATCACAAAAGCTATTATTTTCAGCTGTGTCTATTTGAACACGTGTGTTCATTTAAGCTCCCATGTAAATTCGGACACATGTGTCCTTCTACCCTAGCATGAATGCAAGTACAACACGTTGTGGGTCTTCTTTTTTGTTTTGCTAATGACGTGCTTCTCTTTCTTTTTGCAGTTTGCATAAAATGGCATTCCATTTTTCTATTATAGAACGATGAAAACCAATTGTGATTATTTCGTCTCTCGGCGTAAATCGACATGCAATTATACTCTTCTAAAAAGAGACAATTTTTCTTTAGAAGGATCGTGTCCGTGTCCAAAATAGACTTGTCTTCAAAACAGATATCAAAAGTCAAAATCTTGTCTCAGGTAGGCCCCTATTGGATAGCACTTTTTTAAACATGAAGCTACAGCGAGCACCTGGCACACCTCTGAGATTGGTCCAAATATAGATGACGTATTTCCGTCATCTATTTCTGTCGTCTCCCGGGGCTTCCCTCTCCAGTTGACAAGATCTCACTGTGTCGGACCCGCTTTGCCGCTTAGCGCAAGATGGGCTATGTCACTAGGTATCATTGCTGACATTCACACAGACACACATAAAGTGACCACGACTATGATTGAAGGCTTACGATTTCGATTAATTTAAGAAATAAATGAGTAATATATTGACTAGAATTAGAGTTGTGTCCATTTGGAGGGGGGAAGAGTGGTGGTGGTTGAGCAGTTGGGTCTATCAAAAATGAAATAAAGTTAACAAACCGAAAGGGGTCAACTCCGACTATAATACTCCAAGAAAAATAGACTTGCCACTCTATGAAATCTAAAAGTCAGGATCTCAGTGGGAAAAAAATTGGCACTTTGTGAAAAAAATCGGTATCAACGACAAATCACCCAGGTCACTGCCAAGCTGACTTTAAAAAATTCCAGGGGTGTCCATTATTATCCATGTATATTCCCTCTGCGCGCGTGCGTGTGTGTAGTGTATGTGTGTGTGCATGTACACATGTGTGTGTGTGTGAGAGCGCGCGCGGGTGCCTGTGAGTGTTTTATCAATTTTTTTAAAATCCTGAAGTATCATGTCAAGGTCTCCTAGTCCAAGTGTTTAAACTTTAGGCTAAACTTTAGGGCTAGGGGCAGGGCTAGGGAGGGGGGGGGGGGGGGAGACAGAGTAGACTCGTCAGAATTTAAAGTGAAAGTAAAATAATACCACAAACGGAGTAGTTCGGTTTCAGAAAATACTGCCATGAAACGACATTCCAACAAGAACACGTGAGAAAAGATAGTAAGAACAATTACGCAAGTTCAGCTGCAACAAACTATATAGATCTACCTGTGCCGGGTTTTTCGCGACTGATGTTCATCACTTCATTGCAGTGTTGATGCAGCCGGAAGTGGTAGAGTTAAAATAGAATAGACCTATGAGGTGTATTGTAAAAGTAGCAGTTTTTACTATTAGCTTTGCTCTCTTCATAGTCGCTCTTTCGATTCACCTTCTTTGTTTTGGGTTTTTTGGTTGTTGTTTTTTTTTTTTTGGGGGGGGGGTTGTTTCTTGTTTTTTGTTTGTTAGTTTTGCTTTGTTTTATGTCGGTTTTTTAATGTTTATTTGCTCAAAGAATTAAACAAAAACGATAAGTGACCTAAGCTATAGATCTATGCAGGGGCGGTTTGTTAACTGGGCAAGACCGGCGGTGCCGGTCAGATTTTTTTCAGCTGGACTGTTGACAGGAGATTTATTGCTGCTGATGATTTTCATTCAGTTTTAAGTAAATCCAAACAAACATCTTTCAACATTCAAAAAGCGCCTTGCCGATTTGAAGGCGCTCAAATAGAGAAGTGGGATTCACTGCTGTTTATTTGTCGCGACAGAGCCTCATTCCTTCACGTTTGTTATCGCGCCGGCTCGTAACTTCAAATCGTCTCCCCTCCCATCAAGCCGTCATTTCGCGGAACTTCGTAGGCTAGGCCTACTACGTACGAGACAAACACACGGCGGGCTTTGGCCTAGCGAGCGATGACGCCAGTCCCATGGACAAATTCTTCGACAGCCCTGAGAAGGAATAGAGGCAAGGAGTTTAGAACTAAATTGCCAAATTGGCCTCTTTGTAGCTTACAAAATTAAGATTGAGACTGTCTTGAGCAGCACAGACACATGTATTATTTTATCAGCAAAACATGTATTTATCATTCAGCCTTTCTCTAATTACTATCAGAACATTTATTGTTAGCATGGCACTAATCTTTTTTGTTTATTGACTTTCTAACCACCTATAGTTCCTGTTTGACATTTACTCATCGTTTTCTCCCCTCTAATAACTTACCTGGCCCATAGGAGTCTGGCCGGCGGAGGAAGGAATTATCTAGTGAAGATATATAAGGAGAATTTTATCGAGGAGCGATATGCTCTCGGCTGTCAGAGTCTGGGCCAGGCCTACCCCCTCCCTTCCCTCCTGAGAAGTGCGTCGAAGAAAAACATTTGATGATATAATGATCGGAAACTGTTGTATGCTAACTTTGTCCAGCTTTGTATACTATCTGATTGTAGACTTGATCTTCTTGGGACAGCGTCACTGGTACAGTATCAATTAACTTTTTGTCATCATACAGGACAGTTCTTATTACATATATTTAACGGGTCCAGAGCACGTCGATATTTGGTGTGAGGTTGTAGAAAGGACGAGTAAAGTACTGAAGGCCAGGACCAACAGTCTATTGCCTCTCACTTTCAGTTTGTTTTCTGGCCTAGATCTAGTAGTGTTTTTTTCTGTGCCGATCAAGTCAGTTTCTATTAATCTCAGTAACTTCCATCATATGTTATTCATAATATTGTTTCTTGACATTACCGCATATTCTAGCTCTTTCACAGTATATTACAATGTTTACAGTGGTGTGTGTGTGTGGGGGGGGTGGGAGTGGGGGAGGGGGGGGATGGCGAAAGTATGGGTATAAAATAAGGAGAGAGAGAGAGAGAGAGAGAGAGAGAGAGAGAGAGAGAGAGAGAGAGAGAGAGAGTGTGTGTGTGTGTGTGTGTGTGTGTGTGTGTGTGTGTGTGTGTATGTGTGTGTGTGTGTGTGTGTGTGTGTGTGTGTGTGTGTGTGTGTGTGTGTGTGTGTGTGTGTGTGTGTGTGTGTGTGTGTGTTGTGAAGGAAAGGAATAGTCGACGTGAATGACGGCCGGTCAGTTCTATAAACCACGAGCCGCTACTGGATCTATGTCATGTTTGTGATAATATAATTAATTTATTATGCGCATGCGGCACAGTTAAAAGGATAGCTCTGGGAAACTAAAATGAAAAGGACAGCTCTGCTAAATCAAAATGAAAATGACATAACTTGGAAACTAAAATGATAGGATATCTCCGAGAAACCAAAATGAAAAGGATAGGATGGGGGATTCAAAAATTTTAATAAAAAGGATAGCTCTCTGAAACAAAACGAAAAGGATAGTTCTGTGAAATCAAACTGTAAAGGTAGCTATCGGAAACAAAAATAAAAAGAATAGCTCTTGGAAACAGAAATAAAAAGGATAGTTCTGTGAAATCAAACTGTAAAGGTAGCTATCGGAAACAAAAATAAAAAGAATAGCTCTTGGAAACAGAAATAAAAAGGATAGCTCTGAGAAACCAAAATGAGAATCATAGCTCTATATAACCAAAATAGCTTTGGGAAATCAATGTGTAAAGGTTAGCTCAGTGAATCCAAAATGAAAAGACTAGCGTTGGGAAAAAAGGAATGAAAAAGATAGCTATGGGAAATCAAAATAAAAAGGATAGCTTGGGGAATCCAAAATGTAAAGTTAACTCTCGGAAACCAAAATGAAAAGGATAGCTCTTGGAAACTAAAAAGAACAGGATAGCTCTGATTAAGCAAAATGAAAAGGATAGCTCTGGGAAAGCAAAATGAAAAAGGATAGCTCTAGGAATCCAAAAATGAAAAGAGTAGCTCTAGGAATCCAAAAATGAAAAGAGTAGCTCTGGAAAACGAAAATGAAAATGATAGCGTTGAGAAACAGAGATGAAAAGTATGGCTCTGGGAAATCAAAAGAAAAGGATAGCTTTGGGAAACCAAAATGAAAAGCCTAGTGTTGGGGGGAAAATAATAGGGATAGCTCTGGGAAATCAAAGTGACAAGGACAGCTTGGAGAATCCAAAATGAAAAGGATAGCTATCTAAAACTAAAATGAAAAGGATAGCTTGTAAAGAATCCAAAATGAGGCACGGAGGAGACAGACAGACAGACAGAAGAACAGTTTGACTAGCTGACGACAGTCCCCCTCAATCCAGAATTGACTATCAATTATTTAAATATTGTGACACCAGCCATCCATGTCCGATCCTTGACTACCCTCTCTCACACACTTTCCAAATCTCCACTTGAGGCTCCCCGCTGGTCCGGCTCATCCCCCACAGTGCCGGGTTCGGCGGTTAGTCCCCTCTCCGTTTTAGCCTTTGAGCACAGAAAAACAAAAAGGACAGTGTTGGTAAACAGAAATGAAAAGGATAGCTCTTGGGGGGAAAAATGAAAAGGATAGCTCTTGGAAATCAAAATGTAAAGAATAGCTTTGTGAGACCAAAATGAAAAAGATACCTCTGAATAAGAAAAGGATAGCATGTTGAATAAAAAATGTAACGGATAGCTCTGGGAAACTAAAATGAAACGGGTAGTTCTCTGGGAAAAAAATGAAAATGATAGCCCTGGGAAACCAAAATGAAGAGGATAGCTCAGGGAAACAAAAAATGAAAAGGATAGCTTTCTTAAATCAAAATGAAAAGGATAGCTCTGGGAAATCAAAAAGTAAAGGAAAACTCTTTGACTCCAAAATGAAAAGTATAACTCTGGAAAACAGAAAGGAAAAGGATATCTCTGGGAAACTAATATGAAAAGGATAGCTCTGCTAAATCAAAATGAAAAGGATAGCTCTGGTAAAATAAAATGAAAAGGATAGCTTGGGGAATCCAAAATAAGAAGGATAGCTCAGGGAAACAAAAATGAAATAGATTCTTTGAAACTAAAATGGAAAGGATACCTCCTTGACACCAAAGTAAGAAAATAGAGCTCTCTAAAAACCAAAATAAGAAAGATAACTCTGTGAAACAGAAATGAAAAGTATAGCTTGGGGAAATCAAAATGGAAAGGATAGCTCTGGTTTACAAAAATGAAAAGGATAGCTCTGGTTTACAAAAATGAAAAGTATAGCTTGGGGAAACCAAAATGGAACGGATAGCTCTGGGTAACTAAAAAGAAAAGATAGCATGGGAAAAGAAAATGAAAAGGATAGCTCTCTGAAAAAAAAACAATAATAGCTTGGGGATTCCAAAATTTAAAGGATAGCCCTGGGAAACTAAAACGAAAAGGGGAGCTCTCTGAAACCAAAACGAAAAGTATGGCTCTGGGAAATCAAAACATAAACGGTAGGACTGGGAAACAAAATTGAAAAGGATAACCTTGTTAAACTAAAATAAAAAGGATAGCTCTTGGAAATCAAAATGAAAAGGATAGCTCTGGGAAACTAAAAGGAAATGGATAGCTCTGGAAATCCAAAATATAAAGGGTAGCTCTCAGAAACAAAAATGAAAAGGATGTATAGGGTTGGGAAACAGAAGTGAAAAGGAGAGCTCTCTGAAACCAAAACGAAAAGTATGGCTCTGGGAAATCAAAACG